GTTGTTGCTGCTGTTGTACAGTTAATAGTTGCTTCCTGTCAGAAAGAACGTATTTCAATAACCAGTTGTGTGCAATAACTCTCTCCCTTTGCTTCCCATAGCCCTGCATGGTAGACGCATTGTGAGGGGAGAGGGTTGTTGACAGCCGGTTATCGATCCTGATTGACCTTTCGTCGGACTTTATGTGAATAAAGCATGCAAAACTGAATCGATAAAGTGGCCTCAGTCACTTTGCTAGCAGAGCTGTTAATAGTTTGTCAGTTGTAGATGCTTACGCTGGCTGCTTCACCTTATTAATAATCATTCGATGAGTTGGGTCAGCCACCAAGTCTATCCGATGTTCCATGAAGATTTGGCAAATTGGAACCGTTCCAGGATTTTTTTGCATATACTAAATGTGATTTACCAAGTTGATTACCAAAAAGCCATTTAAATGTTTCAGCTGATGGCAGCCGCAGCATCAGTTCATCATTCGTCGGCTGCAGGTAGTGTATCACGTGGTGGCAGTGCGTCGTCGCCTCATTGCACGACAAGTGCATCAACAGCAGTTCGAGATATGTGTGTCGAATTGTGTGTCGTATGTGGCGACAAGGCATCTGGAAGACATTACGGTGCTGTTAGCTGTGAAGGATGTAAGGGATTTTTCAAACGCAGTATCAGAAAGCAGGTATTTTATTGCACGTTGATATTACTTGAACCTGAAATTGTATTACTTGATCATTTGATTTCCCATCTATTAATGTTCCAGAAGAGTATGAGATTTATTCGTTCTTTCTTCACAAAACAGATTCAAATTTAAAAGTTTGTAATTTTGTGAAATTCTGCTATCCGTTTATTTCAAATGAATGTGCATACTGGAAGTAGAGTTTGTGGTGTATCTGAGGAATGAAATCTCCGTGTAACGAATTATGGATTAAAAAGAATATTTTTAGATATCAAACGAGTTGTAAATCTCTATTTTTTTTTCGTTACAACCTGTATTGATCTTGGTTCCATACATATCAGTTAAAATAATTATTATAAATGCGGCACTTTGTGCTTTGCTTATCCAACTGAAATGTTCTGATTTAGGAAGTATCCATATTGATTTAACATTTAACAATTACCCCTTGAAGTTAAATAATTTCAGATAGGATATGTGTGTCGCGGTACAAAGGATTGTCCAGTGACAAAGTTTCATCGTAATCGATGTCAGTATTGTCGTTTGCGGAAATGTCTTACTATGGGGATGCGAAGCGAGTGTTAGTTTTCATTTGATGATGCTTGTATTGATGTGGGAAGACTCCAAAGAAAAATGCGTTAAATTGATGAGCGACTAATGATCCAACTACAAATAACCTAATAAGTGGCTAGATCAAAAAGATTGGTTTATGGCTATCACTTTAAGCTTTTTTAGGAAGTCAGAAGCAGCCTTCCTTGGCTTAGAATCGTTCTGGTTTCAGAAGACGTGCTGCATCGCATATCCAAGCAGCATACCTTCTGAGCATGTTGATTGGCGGGTAATTGGGATTTTTGAAGAAGTCACCGGTTTGAATGAATGTTTGGTGTTACCAATAGACTACAATTCAGAAATCAGTTTATTGGTGTCTTGAAATTGGTTTAATGTGATCATTAATTCTATTTTTGAAGCGGTGCAAGCCGAAAGACGACCTGTTGGTTCAGCATCGAATAGTGAGGCAGCACCAACAATGGTCGCGACAACATCATCTTCACTTAGGCCTGAGGCTTTAAGGGTCGGTTTGTCCTTTGTCCTGCAGATATTTGCTTCAATAAATTTAAGATTTTAGTGTGCTGGCATCCTCATTTTGTCATTTAATATTACAATATTTAAAAAAGCTACGAAAATTTGTCGTTTAAGACTGTTGATTACATTCCTGCTTGCAGACTTCTCCAATTGTGAAGCACGAAAGTGCTTTCATGAATGGCTTATTAGCAATCGTGAGAAATGAAGTGACAAATACAGAGGTAATTTTCATATTTTTTGTATCAGTAATGCAGTTTCAGATGAATCAGTTTTAGTTATGAAGTTTTTGAAATTTTCTGCAGACATATTCTTGACCATTTCTAATTACAGCTGAAGCAGGAACCGGATGATATGAAGAGTTCAGAGACAATCGATATATCACCAACTAGTCCATTGTCCGTAGTTCGACTTACTTCAGTTAGTCCTGAACCTCAGTCCTCGATAATAAATGAGGTTGATTTTGGTTTATCTTATGAAGTAGTTATTAAGAAATATTGTAAAATTTTCTAGATTCAGATATCATGAGTTTTTACAGTATCATGGTGAATTCAATCTTACATCCTCAGAAGGTTCTACTTCTCCATCGTGAATATCTTACCTTACCAGAGAAGCACGCGAAATTGATTAGCAAACAAACATATTTTCACTAAAAGATTTGTTTTCTTTTTTCATTTTTTTTTGCTTACCAGTGTACTGTAATTTAATGGTTATTACGCAGGATAAATTCGGTAGAGAGGATGATGAAACTGCAGTAGCGGCTCTCCTACGTGCACCTCTGTCAACATCACCCTCATCCAGTGGTGCAAGTTCATCATTACTTGAAGATGGTTCTTTATTGAATACTGAGGTGACTCTCATTACTTACTTCTCCAAAATAATCAGATGTAATGAGACTTATTTGTGATATCATTTTTTACAGTTTCTTTCTCCTTGATGTGATCAGCCGATCTAGAAATGAGCGCTTCTCCTAATTTTAATTGTTCACTATATTTAAGGAGGAATAGAATTCATTAATAAAAAATGAACAGCTGTTGCAGTTTTCTGTTTCCTATCGTAGCACTGGCTTTATTTCCTTTAAATTCCACTGAGGAGGAATTTAAAAAAAATATTTTAAATAATGTGGAATGGTTTTCTTCAAGTATTTTCCTTCACATTTGAATTTATAGCGAGCGAAGTTCGAATTACCAGTGCCACAGCCAATGCCTAGTGAATTAAACATACAGTTTATATGTGAAACAGCTTCCAGGCTTTTATTTCTATCTGTCCACTGGATGAAGAATTTTAAAGCAGTCAGTTCCAAGTAAGTGTTAGAATTGGTATTTTTTCTTCGTGAACTGAACTACACGTGCTGAACTAATTTTTGTGCAGATCTTTCATTGTTTTCTCCTTGCTAATCACTTTACTCTATAAGAAAAGCATAAGAAACCGATCATATCAAACCTTAAATATCAATAAAATATTTGATTATCTCGAAATTATAATCATACGAGTAATTGCTCGTATGATTATAATTTGATTATATTAATAACGTATGATTATAATTTAATTGTATAATTAATTATACGAATAGTTAGTTGCATCGAAGTAAGTAACGTTATATTTTGTGAAGGAGTCGGATCACACAACATGTACCGATTATCTGGACAGCTTCGGTGTGATCGGTCGTTATATGAACACATTTATGGTTACACTTCGATGAGCACTTCAACAGATTTTTTTTCTGCTTAGCTGATTTGAAAGGAATTATTTTATAGATATAAAAAGGTCTGTATAGTCATATAAAACTATTAGTAATGATCAGCTAAAATGAGTAATGATCACTATTTACAAACGAAAGCGACACTTAGTGAAAAAATTTCTTCACCATATCTAGTTTTGCTAGTAGATATCAATGGAATGAGATATCTTGTCTTCATTTTTGATAGATATTCAGTTCGGGTTTTTATGACAATTTCCACGGCATTGTAATGTTAATTGATCCTCGTCTGCAACATAATTCATCTGTAAGATTCGTATATCCTTCTATGAGGCTCTTAAGTCTTTGCTATTCAATACTAATTTTTGCCAATTACTTTAATTAATTTGAACGAATTTACACGAGATCGAACAACGAGGTTGCTTATTTCAGAACTGTATGCATGAACATTTTGAAAAGTTCCGAGCCTTTTGAAAAACTAGAGAAATACTACAGCGATACTGTGTTGTAATCCAGCAATACGTTGCGCAGTTTAGTAACTGTTGCCTTGTTATATCAGTTCAACTTTTTACTTATTTCAGTCCTGGCTGCCTTGAACAGTTGATGAAATTAAAATGGTGTGATCTCTTCATACTTGGCTTAATGCAGTGTTCAAATCAGTTTTGTCTTTCAAATATGCTGGCTGCTATGAGTACTCATTTAAGCGCCTGCTCACGAATAGGTACATTTATAAATATAGATTCTAACAATATAACTTATCTCAAATTTCGCCTATTATCGATATTTTTCTCAGGTCAACTGAAAACGGAACGATTTGAAGAAGTGAATGAACAAATTGGCTATTTATTTAAGCTCGTACAACGATTCGAAGAGCTGAAGCTGTCATCAATGGAATTTGCATATCTGAAATTAATCTCATTTACAGCAAATGGTTTGCTAATTGTTTTGGGCCATTGTTTTTAATAATTAGCTCGCCTGTTTAATCGGAATAGAACGGTTGATAAATGATATCATAATTCGATTTTGACAAGAGAGCATTTGGTCGTTTCTGAATACACACGTACCATGGTCATGGAACACAACGTAGTGAATAATTTCACCTAATTTAGCTAGTTTTAGCCAATTTTAGAGAAAGTGTAATGGAGTGGTAAGAATCGCTTATTTTGCAGATCTCCCCAGTTCTTCAACGGACGCGAGCATAAGGGCAGTACATGCACAGGCATTACAGGAACTCTATGAGCATATATTATCGTTAAGCGTTACGAACTGTGAGGATAGCTCTTCAGAAAACGACAATGCTTCTGGAGCTGCGGCAGCTTCAACAGTGTACAATGCAATCGAACGTTATAGTCATTTATTGTTGTTGTTGCCAACAATGCGGTGGTTCAAGCAAGCTGTACTAGTTGAACTGTTCTTCTCAGGTCTCATTGGCAGCCTGTCAATTGAGACTGTTATGCCATTTATTTTAGCGATGGACGTCATGAATGTTTTTGATGGTACCACTGGTAGTGATTCGTTGCCCGGTGCCCAGTCGCTCGCTAATATGTTTTGCAAAAATGACTGATTTTGTTTATTCGATATTGCTTGGCTAATTTCGTAGTCATTTCAACAGCCAACTAATTGCATTTCAGTGTCAACAGCACCGTTGCTTAAATTTGCCACTGCTTCTCATATATACTGGGAAGTAACGATAAAATTTTTGGTGGGAAAGGAGAAATGAATAGTTATTGTTCATGAAATGAAATGATGGGAATACGTTTCTTTGATTGATTGGACTAAAATAAAGCATAATTCGGCGATTTCAAAAATTGAATATACTGAAGAGGTCGGATATGCTTTACTTACGTGTTGCAAAAATTTACCCTTGTGTAGCGTGTAAAAACATTACTTTCGGAATACGCTATAAATATATAAAATTAGTTACGTGGTATTTTGCCTATTGGCGAATGTATTACATGAGGGGATATATGGCGATTGGTGATAGTTGTTCCCTGTTATGTGAAATGTCTCGTGTCAATGATGTTATGTAAGATTGTCTTGTTGGTACATAGCATTCACAAACTTAATTTGTTGTTTTTTCATGTTTTGGGCTGTAAATATTGCGCATGTCATCAGAACCTTAGCGCTTTCATCATTTGTTTATATTGAAATGATTTAACTTATATTCTAATTATTTAGAATGCAGACATTTTTGATTATTAAGAATCGCTATTAGTGTTGCATTGACCTTTTCTTTGATCATGAGAAAGAGAAAGTGTGCAATTATGTCTTCGCTGAGCAGTGGTTAATAATTTTTGAGTGTTTATTTGTAACAATATTTTGTATTAGTTTTACTCAGTAGTAGGTTTCTATGTAGGATGTTATTGGTGGGACTTATGTATGCAGTTATTCCTCATTCTCAGCATAGGTCACTCAGATATGTCGTATTGTAATATGGTTTTTGAATCGTAGTGCTTCCTCAAAGGTGAATTGCGGATGAATGTGGGCCGAAAACAGGATATGACCATTATGCATAAATGACATTGACAGCACTTACTGCTGCAAGAAGAGTTTCACGAGGAGATTATTTGAAACGTGGTCGAAATTTTGAGTTGGATTAGCTGAATCAAGAGGTGTTGATCTGGTATGCAGCTTTTAGAATGGTGAGGATACTGTTAGAAGAAATAAATTAGTGACTAGTTTGGTGCTCAGTGCACATCGCATTTTGCTTTATGTTACGAAGCTTTATTGTCGTGGAATGGAATAAATTGTATCCTTGTAGTCTGTTTTTGTTTCGACTACTCCCTGGTATTTTGTTTCACCTAATATTCGCTATCATACCAAACAGTTTTTTAGTTTATGATCTTCTCTTCGCAATATTCGCTCCTTTCCCTGTGGTTGTCTTCTTAATTAGCATTATTGTATCTTTTAGAGAGTATTACAAAGTGCATACTTTCCAAATGTATTCCGAACGATCTTTATATTTTTGCTGGAAGATCGTAATAAACGGCGGAGTATGAATGAATCGGAGCAAGGGTACGTTTGAGAAAAATTCGAAATGGTCCTTTTTTTGTAAGAACTAGGCATGCATATAAGTGGTGTTTTTGCGAGTAATACTTTTATCAGAAGATTAAGACTACCCCGGATTCACTTGTCCTCTCTATGTTCTTTCATTTGGTTGCAGCTGTTAATCATGTAAGTTGCCTTTGTTGAGCCACTGCTCATTAGAAATCTCGATGAAGTAGTAATCTTGCTCACTAGAAGTCTCGATAACAATCTTGATAAAGATGAGGGTAGAGGGCGCGTTGGGAATCTTGTGGGTTCAACAAAAGCATTCATTCCTCTTGTCATTGTGCCATACAGTTTATGTCTAAGTCACTAGTTCATATTATTTAATGAGTCACTAGCTTTTGCATATCATTCACTTTTATTCAGGTGGAGTATGTCAATTGTTTTCGTCATCCTCTACGTCCTCGAAGTAGTATACTCTGCCTTAATGAAGGAATCGAATTTTAGAAATCTCATGTAAGAATCACTGATATGTTACTTGAAAATAGGATGGATGAGAGTAGTAGATAATAGGAGGAGGCGAAAAGAGAGATAAAGTAGGATGAAATGAGCGGAGAGAAGAAAGCAACTGTTATCGCTACTGTTGCATACCGTCTGTAGGGCGCACCAGGAGTGCGGGTTGAGGTTCTGCAGTATTATGTTTCGGGCTTCAGTTTAAACCGGGAACTGAAGGTCAGTAATGCTTGTGCATTCCTGTGGGTTCGCTACTGTTTAATTTTTCAGCAGTACAAAATACAGTCAAAGTTTTAATGAAATGAAATAAGGGAAGAAATGGAGATAAATTTGTGTAATTGCTGGTATTTGTTATTTGTGTTTCCGTTAGATGTTTCAATTTGGGGTTTAAATGTCTACTGCAGGTCTTGGGCTTATATAATAGTGGTACCTAAAAGTAAATAAGTATACTCCTTTCTAATAATTGGTGCAACATAATGCACATGCTAGAACACAATTTTCTAACTGATAGTACGTACATTTGAAGGAAAATCTTTTATGAAAATGTTTTTGTTTATACTTTTTTATCGAAATAATGGGTAAGTGATTTTGTCAAATTCAATCCTTTGGCCTCAATGCATGATCGCTTCCAATCCTCTCCGGAAGAGAATTTCTTGGACCATCAACGCTTTACGAAGTATCTCATCCTTCTGGTATTGAGAATCATGTTACGAGTTTTGTAGTAGACCCAATCCTGTTTCGAAAATTTCGCTTCACGTATCGTTGAATTTTCTTTAAAGAATGTTAAATCTCTCCTCAAGTAATGGTAACACATTCTTCATCACACTCAACCATTGGGATGAACTGCATTAAGTACCTTATGCTACAGCATGTTTTAAATGCTTTCTGGGCTTTAGCATGGTGCGGGTTCTTTAATGATAATCGGAAAATGTTGAACTGAGAAATGGCATCTTATAAGCTGATCGTATCCGAAGGCATTGCTAGGTCTTTTTTTTCTGCGTTCCGAAATAAAGATGGTTAAAAGAAGATTCAAAATAACAGCTGTCTTTGTTACAATATAGAGAACAAGGGGTGAGTTAGGGGTGACTTACAGTAGTGTTGTGGGTAGATTGGATAATAACTCACGTAGAGCTATATATTTCGTACCATAATTTTCCGAGTGATTTCAACGAAAAGAATATTATATTGGAGGCTTATTTTCAAGTGTATCTCAAATCTGCTTCTGTTCAGAATATCGTAGTAAACTACTGCGGTACATACCAAGGAACTATTCAACCGTCCCTTTCGCCATTTTTATGCGATGTGCTTGTATAGTTCGGTCAACTGAAAGAAAGCCTGGTTACTGTAAAAAGACTCTTTTCTGCGGCATTGTGGTTGAGGGAGCGGGCTAAAATAGTATCTTTGAAGCTTTCCGTGTTCAAAAACTTTCGTTAAATATTTTATTTTATTGCTCCTCACATACAAAGTTACCGGAAATATATCTACACAACTGAAGTCTTTGTTACTTTGTAACTCCCCATAAAACTAGCCTCTTATATTTTAGAGTTGAAAGCACCTCATCTTTTAAGAAAATCATAATAAAATGAAATTGGAGAAAAAAAGCAAAACAACTCGAAATTGAAAATAAAGGGGAAAAGTTGTGGGACCTTACTTCAGTGAGCTTTTTTAACTTTTGATAACTGCGATACAGGTGTCAGCACGGATTCCCAACGCTAGTTGGGTGATGCGATCGGTGCCGCCGTTATCATTTTATAAATTCTTAAACCTCCATAAATCAATAAGTTTTGTTATTGTGGCAAGTTAATAGTTTGTAATAATATAAGCCATAATCCGCTGGGTTTGGTTCATTTGAACAAGCAATTGTTATAATGTGAGAATCAGGTATTGGCAATTTGTCGTTTAAACAATGGTTTATATATATATACATATATTTATAGTATAAAATCAACGTTTCCAAAACAGACCTCATAAATAGAAACAAAAGCTGCTGAAAGGATCGCAAAAGATTCGTAATGAAATATCGAGAATATAAGGGACTTAAAAGCATTAAACGTTTCGGTGATGCACTAAGCGTTTGAATATCGCATTCCTCTAGAACAATGTTGGTTCCAAATAGGTTGTGGTGTACTTGTTTGTCTTTCCACAGGAAAGTTGCGAAGGAAACAACACAGAGCATAGTGACCGTTTTGATCGAGTAATGGAAAAGTTGTAATCAAATTTGGTCAGAAACAGCCATTTGAATTTCAAGTGGACTACTCCACTAAAGGCTGTAGATGACTTTAAACCCTTATTTAATGAACTGGAACAGATTGTGGAATTATGGAGTATTCATTCAGAACAATCAGTGGTTATTCGTGGTAAAACAAAAGCTAATTTCAGACAGTTTGTAATGACACAATGATTTTTCAAGTGATGCGGCTTGCGTTCGACCTTGAATTTCAAAGGAAGTGAGCAACACAATTTTTTTTTTACGGTAGTGGCTGTTAATCGTGATGTATGGATTAAAGGAAGTATACAACACAATGTTATTAGATTTAGACAATTGGAAACGTATGAAAAGAACACCTCTAGGCAGTGTCGCTTCAGAAGTTATGAAGGTATGATTATTGTGAAAGCCTTTGAGATTCCAAAACAAGTCTTAGTAAGGTCAAGAAGTGAAGTCTTATAATATAATAAATGGCTTAGAAATGGAAATTTGCAGTCTAAACGTCAGTCTTAAGTATGAAGGTGGATCTGAATGTGGTCTTCGCAGGAATGACATCGTTTAAAAACGATATCCTTTTTAGATTGCTCCATCTTCCTTGAAACGCGGAAAGAATGTCTGAAATATGGTTTTCACAGATAACGATAGAAACTTCAAAGCATGACTGGTTTTGTAAACAAAAAGAATGGACAAGTTGGAAATTCTGATTCATCATAATGAAGAAACACAAGTCTGACTAAAATTTGAAACTGAACATTACTCTCGTAATATAATCTCAAGAATTCAGGATTATGCAATTTTAATTACAGATATTTCGGTGTTTCTTCACTTCGCTGTATTCGCAGTTGCTTTTTGATTCAAGGTTTGACTGTGCTTTACCTGTCTCTTTTTCAATTTATCGCTTCAAAATAGCAAGTTCATGTATAAAGGTTGCTTGCCGTCTGATTTTTGTTTATCTGGATTACTAAATCTATTCATTCTCTAATTACGTGTAACAATAACTGATACGGTGTACTAATTTGGCAGTCACACTATGTAGCATTCACTGACGCCACGATTTGCATCCATGACGAATGTTGCAACTTTCTTAAACATTCCCACAAAAACATTTAATGAACGCCAGATTTTATGGAGAATGTCAATTGATAATTCGAATGAGTTAAGACCACTTGCTACAAACATTGTATGCCTTTACCGTTCAAATTTGTAGACCACTAAGCTTACCAACCTTTTCACCTGCTAAACATTCTTTATATCTCGTTTATTAATCTTTAGAACATAATTATAATACTTCTTTTCTTGTGGCTGTTCCCGAAGCAATCGATCAGTCTAATTTCTCGTTTACCACATTACTGTATTATCCACTTCATTTCTTCAACCCAGTATGATCCTGGCTTAAAACATCATTATGCTTACGTCCACCATGACAAAAATTTAGGTTGATGGTGGTGCGACAGTTCTGTTCTTTCTCGGTTCCTTATTGCATTGAACGCAACGTAGGAAATTCAAGACGAAAAGTCGAAAGTCGAATAAGCGGTAAAATTAAGTCTACATTTAGCTTAATGGATTATTTCGGTGTTTTAGTAGAATAAAGCACATTTCATTGAAATTGAACTGAATTGATAAGTTGTTGGAGTAATATCAATAAAAGCTCACACCGATGGTGTTACACTCTTGTGGACAATGGATATTTTCCTCTAATAAATGTCACCTGATTTCTTGAATGTTTTTAAAGCAGAACAAAGTTCTGACAGATTAGCTGAAAAAATTTGTTCTAATTCAAAAGCTGATAAATCTTCAGGAAATGTGCAGGCAGATGGTCAGGCAGTAGCCAATGTCCTAGCTTTATTGCATGAATTCCGATATCAACTAACAGCGCTTTTGTGGAAGCACAAATGCGCCAGGAAGACAAGCTGCACACGAGAGAGATACGAAAGGCAACAACGGCATCACAACAATATTACTGTGCCAATGTACAAGGTGCTAGCAACTCAGTAACAACTAGGGATAATAGTATCATTCCAGCTGTAAATAGCAAATCCATACAACGCTGTTCTCAGATAATAGTGGAGCTATTAGGTACAAGCAGCGATAGCTGTATTTCAATCGTGGCAAATTAATTGTACAATCAATGCCGTTGTCATTCTTACAGTTATCTTTTTCAGATATTTGCAAGTTTCATGTACCTACCATTACTATAGATGGTGACAGTATGAAAGTAACAGTAGCACCTACCATGACACCGTACGAAAATACTATAACTTTCAGCTGATGTAGGAAAGGTCAAGAAGCAAATCAGTGAATGCTTATTGGGGCTGTTAACGTTAAAAGATACCTTAACGGCCAATGCAAAAAATTTGGAATTCAATAATCATCTTTTTTTTATTATCTTGTCGTTCTACACGATATATTCCAGTACAGAGACCCATCATTTACCTTGTTGAACTTGTATAACTTCACCTTAACTGATGAAGAGGAAGAACTTCTCAGGATATTTGTAAGGTGAAATCTATTTGTAACTTGTTTTATCAGATTGTTCGTAAGGTTTTTCACATGGTTTAAAGTTAAAGTAGGATTATCACCCGACCTCTTTTTTCTGGGTAAAACGTTTGTATTTTAATAAGCAACAGTCAACTGCTGGAAAACAGCTGGCAAAGATTTCGGGACAGTGCATGAGGTTGGGTTGCAAACACCCTTTTCATCACAAATTTGCTCAGAATTCTTGGTGATTTTGGCACAGAAAGAAACCATCCCCACTTCTACCTCCCTACCATCACATATTATGAAATGTAGCATTCTTATGTCCTTAAAAGGTGATGTCGAAAAACTGAAAAAATGAAAAAAACAAAAATTTAAAAAACTGGACTGGAATTTGCTAAGCTCAACATTATACTAATTGATATGAAATTTTTCGAAATATTCGTCGAAAAATGTACCAATTAGAGGAACAAATGGGTCCAGAAAACAGCGGCCAAATGTAATTCTAAGAATTCTCACGTGATAACAAATGGTAACCTAATCCTTGCAAGAACTTCGCTCTTAGTCCTTTCTTATTTCCCCTTTCCTAGAAATAATTCAACTTGGTCGGCTTCAGAAGAAATATCACATTTTTAAAACAGGAGTTGATGTCTCAGAAATATTGCTGAAATTGACATTAAGTAGCAACATCTAACTGATCTAGAAAATCGAGCAAATGGTCGTCATAATACCTGCAATACCTGTTTCCGAAGCAAAACAATGTAACAAGAAGTCAAGAAACAAAAGTGCGCAAAGAGTAGATAATGTACGCTACAATATAATGTCACCCACGTCGCAGTTAACACATCGTGCAGCGGATGAACAATATGTAGGCGATATATTGCCGTAATTTGGTTTTAAGCCATATTAATTAGTAGATTAAGGAAATGACAATAAGGAGAGGGTATAAGAGATGAGAGAATTTTTTGGAATGTTTTCTAATCATTCATGACCTTTTGCGGTTAGATTCTGTATGATGAAAATATTCTCACCTCGTGTGAGAATATTTTAATCCATCAGATAGGTTAAAATGATTATGAATTTTAGAAGTCTCTCTTTAATTCTTCTTGCCATAATTAACTGTGTTCAATATGCTATTGTACCAGTAAAGGGAGATAGTTGTATTGTTTGTATGAGCATTTTCCATATTCCGATACACAAAGATCATTTAAAAGCGTACCAAAAGTGTCAAACGCTTTTCCATTTTCATGTTGTTTCTAAATGGCTTTTTTCAGAAGTGAGAAGAATGGAGTTTAACTGAAAATTACTTCGGAGACATTTTGGATTATAACAAAGTCTTCATCAAATAATTGGTGAATTATTCCCGAATGTAGCAGAAATTTTGACAAATTACTTCGCATACTTGATCTCCTCAGAGTTTGCTTGGAACTGATGGAATGATGCTTCGCTATACCTTTCTCAGATCTTGCACAAATTTTCACTTCGCTGATTTTGTTAGACAATTTTTTAAGGTCGTAGATGGAATGATCTACAATATAAAGCACTGTAACCACTGAATTGACTGAATTCGCTGAATTATTTGACATTATGATGTATTTGCAAACGAAACAAAGTGTTTGAAAGTACAGCAAGAGGAGAAATAATACCATTATGAATACCTCGAAATAAAATAAACCAAAAATTAACTCAATGCTACCGCATCAATTACAACCTTATCCCGTAAACCTGCAGAGTAGAAAAAGTATATGATTAATTTGGCGACATTTTAATTTAAGAGAAATCTTGCTTTCCCTTGGTTGTCGTGAGGCATTAGATAGTTATTTGCAACGTTTTTTTTTCAGAACTTTCAGTCAAGTAAACGGATTGCAACACATAGTGCTTTTTCAGTAATTTTAACTGTTTTTCAGTAGCTTTCTAAGATTTCTTCTGATATTTTGACAATAACTGTATCATTTTCGAACTAATTTATAGATAGCTCACCATTGAGTTTCTCATTCCTCATCAAAATGCAGTGATAAAAGCTATGACTAACTTATAATTAACGTACCGAACGTTCTGAATGCATGATGTCCTAATCATTACTATAAAAAAAATTTATCGGAAACTTCTAAAAGACTGGAAAAATGCAGAATAACAGCACGAATAAGACATGAAAATACATGAGTAATAGTGAGAGCTAAGCGCAACAAAGGAGACAAGAAAATATGAGGCATTACTGTATGTCTTGATCTAGGTTGTTAAGGAAATTAACGAAAACAAAGGACGAAAAAAAAGGATGTGAAGTAGCGAGAATCGAGGCACAAATGGAAGATTGGACAAGACTATATTGTTATAATTAAGCCTGAAAAATGAGACTGAAAAAGTAAAATTTCCGCACAGCACAAACTGGTCAGTACTGCCTTGACAAAATCATTTGATCATTTTATCAGTGGCATCACAGAATCATTCAAAATAACTGTAAATATTGACAAGACCGGATTGGGGTATGGCAAAGAAGTATAAACTAAAAAAGTAATGGGTTGTGAGGACGCAAAGTTTGCTTGGGGAATTGAGAATGCAGACTAATACTGCCGTACAAAATGGCATAGATTAATTAAAGAAAAGTGGCGAAAAAATAGTTGAAATTAGAAACTGTAGGGTAAAGAACGTAATTATCGAAATGATGGTATGAGTGCTTGATGCAATATCGAAGAAATTGAGGAAACACCTAATGACGAAAGAATAAGACACGTATATAGCACCTCATCGACTCGTAAGGATAGGGAAACGGCATTAGATTAAGAACTGTATTTGTCATATTCACTGGTTCATGCAAACGGTTTGTTCAACTGCAACTTTTTAGCAGCAGTAGTCACAACAATAGTGATAGTGATATTACTAGCAACTGTACGAAAAGACAGTAACGACAGCAACGAGTGACAACTAGTCAGAAGTGTCAAACAGCTTATGATCAGTGCCACGCTACGCCAAAATGAATGGATTGCGGGGATAGGAAGGAAGGAAATGTCAACGGATAATGAAAGAAATATGTATCAAAAGAAACTGTTGAGACAAAAACGACTCCACATTGAGCTTTTCATTATTATTGGCATCAATACATGCTGCTACACGAGACCACCCACGACGTTCTTGCTTATTGAAATAAAAAATGTGTGGCACGGATGGATGAAACCACTTTTGACGATTTTTGCAGTCTTCTGAGTAATGTTGTATTTGGAATGGTACAAGTGCGAGGTTGGTGTTGACATGGTGGTCTTGTTCGTTTGATGCAGTCTTGGTATTTTCGCTTTTTCTCGTGCTGGTATCAATAAAGTGTAAAAATTTCAAACGTGTATCAAGGGGGTAGTTGGGAACCAATCTTCAAACTATTACTGAGTTCAGCCATTTTCATACTTTTCATTCAGTTTATATATTTTCTGGATATTTGCGTAAAAATAGGTTAATGTTACAGAAGCCCCTCTTTCGTTTCGCGTCAGATAGTCTGTGTTTCCATCTTGTATTTCTGTTTAGCATTAAGCTACATGAAGATTTCCGTACGTAGCTCCCCTGCTACTTCCGCTTCAAACCATATTTACGAACCGAACTTTCTACAGGGAACCACAAACCATATTTACAGGGAAGCACGTTACGTTTAATTCTTAATTATCAGAATGAAGTAAAAGATATGAAAAATAGTTTATTTGATTCATTTAATTGAATGTAAACTACAGTACTCAATACCACACAGATGGGCTGGATGTCTGTAGCCTATTTGCAGCAATGCGATTGGTAAGGCTATAAATAAAAAGCACTCATTTTTAAAACCAAAGAAGTAATACTGAGTAATTCTGCCGGAATGTCGAATAGTTACAATCACTCATTTGTTTCAGTCATTTTACATTCAGTTGTTTGCTTAGTTGGAAAGTTTTTTGTTTAAATCGCCTCAACATATAAATAAATTTGTAATATCAAGAATTCGAATGCAAAAGTGACGAAAGTTTAAAGTGTAGAAACCCAACAGTTAATGCGATGCAGCACATGCTTCAATGGATAGGCTGTTGCCATTTTCGGGTATATTAGAATCACTAATGTAGGGTGCAATCTCAGATGATCCGGTACTGTGACGCTGCTCGGAATCTGAAGGAACTACCATTTCGACTAACGAAATCAGAAAAGGTATCACAAAAATCGCGTGTAAAAATCCGAAAGTGCTGCGTAGTAGAACTGTTTTGGCAAAGATAGCATATATGTAAATGTTCTGAAACAGCAATGGTATAATGCAACTGATAGTCGTCATCACTACCTAAACAAGTAAAGTTAGGTGGAGATTGGAGATGAATCATACCTTATCTGCATCCATGAAGAAATTGCGAATCACCTCCAAGCAGCATTTGCATCGTAATGCAATTAAATGCATAGTCAGTGTTAGAATTATTTATCATGCACGATATTTTTAGGTGACAATACCTAGTTAGACGACTCTTGACTATTCTAAATGAAGGTATTACTTGAGCAGTTGGACGGAAAATGGCACAGACAGTTCTGGGCATACATTCTGTTTGAGTCATCATAATTCTGCTTCCAGAAATAAATGATAGCTAATATGGACATATAACAGTAAAACCTGCAGCCATAACGACATCCACCATCAGCACCACATCCAACTCCGCTCCCCATCACATTTAATTACAACAGTAATTTTGAGTATTATAGCTGAGCACCTAAAGTAATATCGATGAAAGTAAAGGTAATCTATTTATTTATCAGTACCTTCGAAAGGGCTCATGTCCTGTAATGAATAGGTATATGGCTTCGTACGATTGGAATAGTGATGTCAATTTGCATCTTATTGAGCTCTAAATAACAATACTAACTAACATATGATAATTGGCAGTAGGGAAAGTATGCTGCAAATGGCTATTCTTATGATCGGCAAGAAAAAAAACAAATGACGACCATAATTGCAACTATTGTCACCACTGCTTCAAAACTGTTTCCTTGACTGATAAAATGAGATCAAGAATGTGTGAATCATAAAAAAACATCGAATAGTCGTTAGGAAGTAGTTTTTTTGAACCGTTTACAACAGTGGCACGATCTTGCACTTTGAAGTAACTTGCAAGCATGGTTCAAATGATATTTTGTTTAGTGACAACAACGTGTTGCTGAAATAAATTTTGAAAGAAAGCAGATCATTACAAGTATATCTCAGTGAAGTTGACTGCTTAACAAGTGATAATCTAATGGGTGAACAAAGCGGAGAGATTGAATAAAAGTTCGAGCCAAGTCGTATAATTATGACATATATAATGGAAAGTTGTAATTCGCGTCACATCATCGCTTTACGTAGTGGCATTTCTGGCCAGTTCCGTCACTATTATTCTGACCATCTGGTTGGTAATCACTATAAATCTACAAAATGTTCAATGAATTTTCATCTTTAGCTTTTATTAATTATATTTAGGATTTTTTTTCTGAGTATTGTGAAATTAATGAAAAAAAAAGCTGCAATAAATTCATATCGTTAGAGGAAGAAGACTGGATCAGCTTTATCTATCAAAGCAAGAGATTTTGCAAGGAACGAGTTATCGACAAATATTTTTTCAGGAGCGAAGTTTCCGGCATGTTCATATACAACTTCCGAGTAAAGCAAAAAACAGTAGAAATATCGCTATGGCAAAGGGGAATTTTTGGAGAAAAGTGTTGTACATTTTGAAATATCGCTTGGCCTAAAATCATTGGAACTTGTAAAAGAAATACTCAGTGTAGTGTATTTGATCCGGGGATCTTTCTTTAATTATAGCAAAAAAAAAAATTCCAGAACAACAGAGCAGCTGAGGTACAAAAAATAAATAATTCCAGTAGCCAGCATAATGCAAATTCAGTTGCTAAACAGAAACAAAAACAAGCAATGTCTGTTGATGGCGCCATGATATATCTCGCTTGTAAATTATCAAAATACAGCCTCTTCAGGTTAGCAATGAAATGTAAACTATAAGCCAATGAATAGTAAAATTTTAAAAAATTCAGAAGTAGAACTGCATAAATTATAATAGAAAGAACTGCTGCATTAAAAATCAAAGAGATGAAAGTAAATGGCTAACATACGATGAATGCTGGAATAGTGATAAAGGAAGAATGTGTAATAGATGGACCAATAGTTGTATAGATCATGTAAAAACGAGAACTGGGCGTAGATTGTGAATAAAACCAGATCAACAAAAACGAATCGTTTACCGAGTTCAAGAATGAAGTGATCATTCTGCACAATGATACATTTTTTTAAACGTTGTTCCATCTATGTTGAATCAATTAGCAAAATAAATAAACAATGAAAAGATGAGTTTCAATTATTGAAAATAACAAAGGGAACGAAACATCGTATAAAGTTTCTTGATGATTGTATGGGATTAAAATGTTGAAACAAACATTACGCTTTTGATCGATACACTCATTAATGATAACAAACCAAATGTGGTCCTACAACTACCACTAGACAGAAAATTGCCATGAAAGTTAATAATATATTTCACTTTGCGCTTCTAAAATCAAGCATAGTGCTATGTTCAAAAATGGGAAAAAAAGTTGTTAAATCAAAAGCGAACTACCATTCTTATTGATCAGCGATGATCTGCTGAATGCCATGAATAATGATAAACTAACAACTGATCGGAGCTCAAATTCAGTGATCTTGTTCATATTGCCATATGATGCCATGCACTACAACGACCATCAATGAAGCTCGATCATAAAGCAGAAAATGTTTGAAAGAGCCGCCTTTTGTATTTCGTAGTTAACCAATTCATCGCCCAATAAGTACAGCTCCATTTTCGGACCAATACGCTTCTAGAAATTCTAGGTAACTAATTTTCGGAAAACCTTATTAATTACGGAAAAGAGCATTTCTCTCCAATGATCTAGTTACAAAATTACAAATGTTTTTGAATGTTCGTACTGTGCAAATTTTTGAATGTATGCTTGTAGTAGCATATGATTTGTTTAACTTGAATTTTCTGTATAGTGAAAGTTTTTAGGTTTAAAGTGATTTCACATTCTATTCACTATTGTCATATAAGCTGATAAGATGTCTTTTTTTTTAAAAATCTTTGCAAAACTGATGATTTTGAAATGTAGCATTCTTGTATTCCAGCATAATTTGCAACTGTAAATTTATTATCATACTATAGATCTTTTGTGCACAAACTTCTGAAATGTTCCCGCTTTAAATTCTGGGTTCCGTTTAACAAGGTGCACAAACGTTGGATTATAAATGTGAAGAAGGAAACTCTGAAAACCCGTGGTTAGAGGGAAGGCATTTTTTTCCATACATCATGGGATATATCAAAAAAATATGGTGGTCTCTTAACTTTAAACATGTTGCTTTGACTGACAGACTAATCTTTTTGAAGTATCCGTACTGGAAAGTGCCTCACCCTTAATTGTTAGTATCACTGTGATCAGCAGCTTTGATTATATCAGAAGCAAGAAGATTATTAGCATTGAATTTCCATTAAAAAACGGAGAGAAAACGGATTCTTTTGATACTTTATAGACATTGTGTTGCACTAACAAGTGCACTGAACCAACCCTTAGATATGGACACTTTAGTACAATCTCCGCTCTATTTGGCAATTTCGCATATTCCTGAAATTCTTACTGAAGCAAAATTAATAATGAATACTATGTTGTTCGGGGGAACTACTTTTTACAATCATATTGTTGTTAAAAATAAAATATAAAATATATTCGAAAAAATAAAATACAAAATTTATTTTTTTCCACGAGGAACACAACGATCGAGTCAGACTTTAGCAATAATTCATGGATGCAGTGGAGATGGGTCGCAAATGATTTGGATCACCTAGCTTACATGATTGTGTCGCAATGGTGATAAGAAAACTAATCTGAAGTCCAAATTCGAGGTTAAGAATATATTCTTGAACGAGTTATCAAGGAACAACTATTGTTTAGAAATGTCTAAAAACGATTGTCTGGGATGTCGTTTTTTTTCCTTTTTTTTTNTTTTTTTTTTTTGTTTCAAACACTTTCTAGTTTCCACATAAATAAAAAAGACATAAAATGAAAAAGTCTGCAGCAATGAAAAATGGATTTTGTTTGAATAAATTAAGAAATACATGGAGCAATCGAAAATGTGGATTGTAGAAATCATGCGGTGGAAGAACCTTTTGAAGATCGCGAATCGCTTCATTTTTCATTTCTGTTATATATTCATCCTTAAGCATCGAACAGCTGTATACATTCATTAATAAGCGCCATCTGAAAATGATATCATTCCGCTAAAAATTTTGATACATCTCGTTATCCTTTTTGATTTTGCCACCAAACCGCAAACAATAATTCCTACCATATATGGCATCTTTGTGTATTTGTAAAATTGCAGAAATTTGTTATGCTAAAATTTTCCATTTCATTTTTTTGTTTCTTTTTTTCAGTTAGTTCATTTTAATTGGTTAACTGATCCAATTTGCCTCTTACCTATGACGCTTCACTTACACATGAATCATTAAAAACTTCGAAGGGAATGTGGAAAAGTGAGAGAAAATAAGGATAGGGGAGTACGAGTTAATTTTTAAAGCAGCATGACTTAGTGTTCAAAGCTACAATAAAAAGAATCTAGTCATGTTCTCGACCTCGATCCCATTCACCTAATATATCAAGAATAATAGCAGGTTGCATTAATTAAACCCCGCATTAAATCATGCTTACTGTTTCAGGGATTATAAAATATCTTCCTCTTGTTCTGTATGATACAGTATCAGTCACCAAAAATGTAAAACTCACACATATAGTTAGGCATGAGAAATAGTTTGGATGATTATAAGCATAATTGCCAATTTGAAAAAATAAGTGTCGGTGTGCAGCCAGAAACGGATTTTGCGACAGAAGCATTTTCAGCTTTGCTTCTTTACAGATTTCTACGAGAATATTAAGAAACCATTTTGTTTCAGGCTAATGAGAGAGCTTTCGTCATTCGCTAACTTCTCATCTTCACTCACATAACGAAGGTAGAAACCGTGTGTGATTATGATTTTGCCTGAAAAGTTAAAATCTAATAGATCACACATTATAAGTAGGATTATCAAAATAAAATGTCACATTACTGGTTCAGACAGCATGAAATTCTCGTTATCATCAGTAGCTTTTGTTTCCAGTTAGCCTTTTCTCGAGTTCACAAGAACAAATATTTCTAATTTGTCATGTGATCTTTCCCATTCATTTACAGTAAGGCATTTACAGTAAAATGCTCTGAAAAAGGACGCTCTACACAGCTCACCATTTTTCATCAAGTAAAAACCCTAAAATTATTTATGCATTCTTCACTGTTGTTAGGCACCACACAATGTTCTCTGATTCATGACAATCAATTATATTTAATAGTAATCTTATTTATGTAAATGTAATACTTACACAATTTTTGAAATGATTTACGAAAAAAAAACCAATCATTTGATGATCTCTGAAGAATAAAACTAACTATTCTTGATATCTTTCAAATAATGAATTAATATAGGATAAACAAGAGTAGAAAACAAAAAATAGCATTAACAATAACTCGTAGTATCGTTTGCAATGTGTAAGACAATGGATAGCATTGTCAAGTGATCTGATTCCTGCTGAAATACTCAAAAAATGAAAGTAGCAGGATTTGAAAAAAAAATTTGACAGAGACTACCTACAGGAGTTGCACAGCGACATTCAAGCGGATTTTTAATCAGAAAGAGCGATACTTTTAAATATCATCTGCTCTTTTAGTTTTTTTTTTTTTTTTTTTTGTCTAGTAAAAGTAACTAAAAG